GATTTTTATGTTTCTTCCTTTATTTCCACAGAACCCGGACTTGAAAGTTTCACTAGGTCATCCATTATTAATGATAGCTGCAGGGAAGCTCTATGGGGCAGCACTATGAGAGCACATCACAAGGGTGCGTATGAGTTTATTAGTTCCATCTAAGAGTACGAACGTGAAAACAAATTGTATGCAACTCTAGAGTAACCTTACATTTTTACTCCAACCTTAATATATATTTTACTCGTTACATAAATAACTATAAGCAGCAAGGGACTCAATATTTACTCTTGGGCTACTCCAGCGTCTGGTGGACATGGTTTGGGTTTGAAACCGTTTAATGTCACGTACATAAAGCGATCATTTAAATCTAATTTTATTAACCATCTGAAAATTCAAAAAGTTCCAATTTCTACTAATTCTACTAATTAACTCCACCAAATAAGTATATATGGGTTTGATACTTTGCTTTAGATGTCAAAAAATCCTTTCTGGAAATTACAGTAGCAATAGCTGTATTTTGTTTGGCGCGGTATAGGTGATGAACTTCCTAAATCAATTAGATCCTCTCAAATAAAATGTTATTTTCCAATTTTTGTAGTCTACTGTTGCTCGTCGGATCATTACCGGGAGGGTTTACAATGGTGCTTTTTCCGTAGGTTTTATTGCTTCAGGGAAAATTTTACTTTAAGTTCTTCCTTAATTCGAAAATGATTGTTAAATCGTTGTTAAAGTAATTATTAAGTAAATTATTACAAGCAACTTCGAAGATATGAGTGGGCATTTAAAATTCAGGTATTGCAACTTAATTAAACATATATTTAGACGTTTATTGCAGAACCAAGAAGCAAGTTTGTCCTTTCTAGGATTAAGTATACATGATTACAAAATTTTGACAGGTGTATCAATATTTAATAATATCACATACATTCATTTTACCTACAAACTAATCCTATTCTTCCAATATTAAATATTTCATTAATCTCAACCAGCTCTGCAAATTTGCTGTCACAGTTTAAACAATACTTAAAAGATGGAATGAGTGAGCGGCGGAGTTTCAATAGTTACTTTACAACTTTGTTGATGAAAATCAGAGGTATCAGTACAGAACATTCATAAAAAAATATAATATAACTTGTATGCTTGATGAACAAACGAGAGCCATTTGTAGGAAAAATTATGTGTAGGTGGCAGACCTGCCGCGTTAGCAGTGCCATTGCATCTGTCCTGGATTGTGAGGGAAATTGGCAGAAGCACCCGGTAACGTAGGATAAAGCTGCGTCAGCATGTGGTGAGGTCCGGGCCCTAATTTAGGGCCGTCTTCTGCTTTTTACTCCTACCGCCGATTCAGGCAAGAAGCTTTGGGCTTCAAATTTCGTTCTCGGACTGCCCCTCCAGTATCATGGTGACCTCTACGGCGATTTTCAAAATACCGAGCTTCGTTTGGGGTTGTCCGTTTTTAGGTATGCCATGTACATCCTTATTTACCAGCTCTTTTAAAACTTTATTAATAAATAATACGAATTCGTATCCTCTTTGTCGCGTTATTCGTTTGCCCCCTCTCTCTCTTTGGTTGTGCTTTAATATCTGGATCTAGTCCAGTAGTTGAGGTACAGAACTGTTATTCACACCGACCGGCTGTGGAGTCACGTGATTTGCCAACGATGAGGTCGAACTATAACTTCTCTCACGAGCTTGCTCTGGGATTGCATACATTGTCCCTAACACCGGACTTACGGCGTATGCCATTCCGTTATCCAAGGAACCGTACGCGGGATGAAGGCCTGGTTTCTCTAGAATAAATAAAAAATCGCCTGTTATGGACAGTTACAGATTATATACATTTAATTCAGAAATTTGACCGAATCATGTAGTAAGCCCTAAGCTGTGTTTTTTGTTATGCCAGACTTTTTTGGAAAGTTTTGATGATTTTTTTTAACCATTTAGTTAGTTAATAATCTATACTTATATAATGAAGCTAAAAAGTTTGTTTGGTTGAACGCGCTAATCTCAGAAACTACTGGTTCGAATTCAAAAAATCTTTTTGTGTTGGATAGTCGTGTTTACATATAGGTTATATAACATCACGCTACGATCAATAGGAGCGAAGTAGCAATGCAAAATTCAGAAAAACAGGAAAATTATTACTCCTTTGACAGCTTCCGTTGCTTACACTGCTTAAACAGTTAAAGTTACGTAAAAATCATGCATGACGAAATTGTTCCCCTCTAAAAGTTCTAAAGAAAAGTCCGCGACAGCGTATGTCTATCTTTTAAGGTCGACTCAGTATAGCCTTTTTTATGGTAATGAAATTTGTTCTAAAATAATAATGCATTACGTATAAAATTCTCACGTCACAGTGTTTGTAACCGAACTCCTCCGAAATGAGTTGACCGATTTGTATGAAATTTTTTATGTATATTCGGTAGGTCTGAGAATAGGTTGTAGACTATTTTTTATACCCCTAAGTGATAAGGGTCGCCCATCCTAAAAAATCTTTGTTTATTTTTTTAAGATTTGGCATCAAAAAATACATATAACCCTAAATTCTCACCTTTCTACCACCAACCCCCATGTTTTAATCTTCTATATAATAAAAATCAATTGCTGTTCCTGTTAGTCTCGCCAAAACTCAAAAACGGCTTGACCGATTTGAAGAATTTTTTATGTTACGGGGATTGTTTATAAATAAAAAAAAAAATAGGGAAAACTTAAAAGAGCAGCTAAAAAAATCAAACAATTCTAAAAATTTTTTATGGGAATGGCCACTTCGAATTAATTTCAATGGTCGGCGTTCCTGACGGACCTGTCGTTTGACTCAGGTGTCATACAAAACTATTTCTTCCGTGCGATTGTGAAAAGTATATTGCATTTCAAATCGTTCTTTGCTTCGCACCAAAAGTATAATGAAACATATTCAGCATTTTCGAGTTGAGTCTTTTCTTCACACAATTTTGTGATGACCTAATCAACATTTACGATCAACACGTATACCACCTTGGATTGGTGCAGTGTAATACTAAAAATAACAGACTGTATTGTATTCCCAAAATTATCTGCGAAAATCGAGTGAGCCGTTCCATCAATTTTTTGGGGGGAATAAATAAATATTCGTAACAATTTTCCATTGTTTACAATAACTTAAAAATGTCTGCAAAATCTCAAAGTATTCATTTTTGCAACTCTTGAGTTATTCAGTAAAATAAATTGACTGATCCATACATTTTTTTGTGTCACTGGAAAAGCAAATCTAAAAAATATGAATGCAATGATAAATTACGAATATATACTGACGAAGTTTTTGGGCTTGATAAACAGATATATTTTGATTAAAAAGTTACCATGCCATACAGTAACTTCAAAGCGTCTGCAATATTTCGAAATTCAGTTTTGCAATTCTTGATTCAATCAATAAAATAAATTGACTCAGTGATTAATTTTTTTGAGGCACCCCCTATAAGCAAAACTAAAAAATATTAATGGAATGATAAATCACGAGTATAGTCTCATCCTATTTTGAACATTTTAGATAGGCTTCATTTGGCAAAATTTTGGGCTGACGTCATCAATTCTTTGGAGGGGATAAGTAAATATATTTTGAATAAAAATTTATTATGCTTATCATATGTTTAAAACATCTGCAAGATTTCCAAGCATTCAGTTTTGCAGATTCAAAATTAAATTGTAGGTGAAACGAAGTTCACGGGGTCAATTAGTTAATGTATAATCAGTGAGTATAATGATCTAATAGTATGTAACATTGTACTTTGTACAGCTGTCGAAAATAGTAACTATTTCATGTAAATATTTAATTGTCATAGTACGAATTTTTAGTAGTGGCTCTAGTACTTCGAGAGTGACACTATACACGTTAAAATTAATATACCGGGTGATTCAGATGAATTTTAATCAGAGTTCTGAAGTAAACGACTTATTATTTTGAATATATTTCTTATTTTGCTGCTAAGTATTACTGGTTGCTTAAAAATAAATTGAAAATAAAGTTTAACTTTGGTAGAATGTTTGTTTTAAACTTTATTTAAATTTACAAAAATTGTTCAAAATATCATATTTTAAACAAAGTCGAACTCTTCATATTTTAAAAACATTAATAAAAAATCGAAGTGATATAACTTGACTACTACTCACCGCGTTATATTCAGCTACAATTCTTTCTCGCCCATCATCGCTTAGCATAACTAGAATCTCCCGTCAGAGCTGCACCACTAATAACACTCTCCAAACTCTCTTCTAAAGATGGTCTTGTATGAACTGTAGAAAAATAACTAACAAATTGGTTTAAAAATTATTAATTATGACTTACCGTTACATCTCCGATGGTCCAAAATATTGTCATTTTTTGAGAGTGTGTTTCTTCATCTAATAAATCATCCGCTTAAAAAGTTGATACATGTCAAGGTAAGCTTTACAATCGTCCAGTCAATTAAATCGGGTCCTAAATCAGTGCCATCTTCTGTCTTTTCCTCTTCCCGTCCTTTCAGGCAAGCTGGCTTGGAATTCAGGTTTCGTTCTCGGACCTTGTCCGTTTTTAGGTGCGCCTTGCACATCCTTAATATATCTTCTCGACCTCTTATCGTCATCGGTGGAAGTCCGCTAATTGAATTTGGCTGTACAATTGTCTTTACTGAACTCGAGGGTATCGTGCCACTGTCTGGAGGCTCTTCGCGTTTTTTCGTGTTATATATTGCCCGCTCCACCTTGACCGTGTCCGGAAAACACGTCGTCGTATACCCATAATAAATTGTACTGGTACTAGCTTGTTCTGCGATTGGATAAATAGTCCCTGATACCTTATTATTAATGCTGTCTGTATGATTTATGGGTCTGAACGCCGAATTGTTCGTTCTCGAGATGGCGGCGACGGCAGTATCGTTTGGCTTTAGGGAGGACATGGGTGGCAAGCTTTGACCGTATAATACCGTACACATCGTAGACCTGGTACGTCGTCGAGGTGCCATACGTTGGGTACCAGTAGTAGCCTGTGGTAAAGATTGGGCGAGGTGCAGCTGGGATACTTATTGAATTCGTGCGAACCATACCACTGGTTGTTCTCTATAGAGTTTCCCGTCTGCGGCCGTTCTTCCTTCGTCGGCCTGAACCCGGCCTTGGGCTTCGCGGGCGATAACTAGTTCCCTGGTCTCGCCCCAAAGGGAAAATAGGGGCTGTCTGCCGGACCAACCGGACTTATGGCGTATGTCATTTCGTTATCCAAGGAATCGTACGCGGGGTCAAAGTCTGGTTTCTCTAGAATAAATCAAAAATTGATTCTGAGCTGCACCATTAATAACAGTCCCCAATCTCTCTAAAGATGGTCTTGTAAAAACTGTAGAAAAAAAAACTAACAAATCGGTTTAAAAATTATTAATTTTCACTTACCGTTACATTTCGGATGATCTCAAAATATTGTAATTTTTTAAAGTGTGTTTCTTCCTCTAATAAATCATTCGCTTTAAAAGTTTAGGTATACATAAGGTTAACTTTACAATCGTCTAATCGGGCCCTAAATTAGTACCAGCCTTGAAAGTCAGGGTTCGTTTTCGGACCTACTGTTTGAGTCTTGTCCGTTTTCAGGTCCGCCATGCACATCCTTAATATATCCTTAATATAGTTGAATTTGGCTATGCAATGGTTTCTACTGAACTCGAGGGTTTCGTGTCACTGACTGTGTCCGTGTTCGTTCCACCTTGACCATACCGAAAGTATGTATGTATTGTCAGCTTTCGTTTCCTAAATGTAAATTTATTTCCAGCGGAGCAACGCGGAAAACGGTGGTTGGTGTATTTCTGTAGTGTTACATTTTGTGGTTTTTGAAGTTGTAAAACATCGTGCGCTAATGTGTACGAAGCAAGTGCAACGTGGACAGCGTAGATCGCGCACGATAACCGTGGTTTTATGACTAATTTTTCCAAACCAAATACACGGAGTTTTAAATTATCCCTCATGTCTTCTGTTTTCTGTTCTTTTGTCGTAAGTATCTCCGAAACAAAAAGTAGCACTGCGATATGTAGATTTATATATACGTACAAAAATTTTGAAGATTCTTATGACAGCATTTGAATTTTGGCTATGCCTTGATTTTCTAATTTTTTTACAAATTATTTTTAACTATGTTTCTGGTTCACTAAATAAATTAGTTAAACTCGTTTTAATCATTAATATTTCGTGCTTAAAGTAAAAGGCCGAAATAAATCCCACCAAGCATGTTACTTGTACTTGCCACGTAACATAAAAGAACCAGCGTTCTCGTACGGATATTTCTTGTGACGGTCGACTTTTCGGTAAACAATTTATCGCTAGGAGAAACAGCACAATTGCACAGAGCAATAAGTATAATTTGCACGATGCAGGCCTGGAAACAAATGAAATAAATATCAGTGAAAAAGTCAATAGTGTAGCGACGAGGCGTTAATCGAGTTAAAATTACTACATAAAAATGATTGCACAACAAACAAAGGTGTACAATAAAAAATATGATTTGTCGTATATTTATAAGAGGGTAATTATTTTCGGAGGCTAAAGTATTATTATTAGTATTATTATTACCTTACATGCAGGCGAGTTAACAGATAATGGATATTTACGTGCGTTTTGCTGCTTATGGCAGCAGAATGGTGCTACTGCGCATACAACAGGAGCTATAAGAGATTTTTGGGCTGAAATTTATGACAATAGGATTATTAGTCGCAATACACCAAGCAACTCGCCGTCTAGATTGCGACTTCTTGTAGCCATGTATAAAAAAATTGGATCCATGCAACACCCGTAAATGTCTTGGAAGATTTGTGGAATCGAATAACACACATAAAACTACTGACAATAATGACAATGCAAGTGTTTTGGAAAATGTGTCCAATGCAGTAAAGTGAAGGACTAGGTTGTGTTTACAAGAAGGGGGTTCCCACTACCCCACTTCCAGGATTTTGTTGTAATTTAATGTTAAAATTGTTTAATAATAACTGGAAACAGAATATTCGACTGACTTATGCAGAATATTTTCGTATTGCTGTTACAGAAAATTCTAATGAAGTGATGTATTCTTATGCTCCCTTTTACTTTCTGAAGAAACAAAAAATTGCCTGGGGGAACTGTTATTATGAAGGTATCCTTCTATAACCATTATGATTTTGATTACTTCCATTTACTGCTTAATTTCAAAACTTGTCACCGTCACTTAACTTTTAAAAATAAATGAATTTTAAAGCAGTTCTAGCTAAAGAAAATTTTTCAAAGGTTCCAAGATGGTGTTCTTTCTAGTAATTTTATTTCAATAATCTGCGTTAAACCAATTTTCACTGCATTAAGACAACGTTTTCTAACTTAATATTATTTTGTTGTTAAATGTTAATTTCCAAAAATCGTCAATTTTTAACGTGACTCTTTTCACACTGCAAAGAAACAGTAAAAAATTGAGAATTGAATTTTTACTGCCTACTCTGAATATATAAAATAAAAAATGCATACCTGCAGGTGTTTTCCTGTGCTTGATTATCAACTTCTTCCACTGGTTTTGACGGCGACTCGTCTCTTTCCTGATGGCCGATTTCGCAAGCAAAAACCTCAAGGTCTCTTTTTGTAGCGTTCTGTGTTTTTTCAGTTTTGTCACATGTTTGTTTTCGATTTTTTGTGACTTGTTTTTCACCACAGGACCGCACTACTCCACGGATACATGTTTGAAGAACAATCTAAAAAATATACTTTATTAAAACACGATACCGAAACAAGAAAAAAATTACCTCTTCTGTACTGATGTCTGTTAAAGTGATAAAAAAACTATTTTCTACGTTGCAGTCTTCGGCAACCGGATTCACACATCTGATGTACACTTGAGTGCTCGAGCGCGCCTTGATTACCGGCAAGCCCTTCTTTTCTATTTTAAATTTTGACTCGATATTTGTATACACTGTAAAGCAAAAATATCAGTTGGCGTTGAACAAATCTTCTAAAAGCATATTTACCGTCATATTTCAGGGCAACAGGGTATGGATTGAATAGTGTTATTTTTTGGTTATACGTGTTATCGTCTTCCAAAATAACAACTATTTCTGGCGGAGAAACATTAAGCGTAGCAATGCGGCGGGACATTTTTACAATTTTTGAATTCAAGCTATCTAAGGTAGGTGTTCACAAGTCAAATGCGAGTTAGCGACTACTAGCTGTGTATTATTTGTATGTACCCGTTCTCCCTTCCCCTCGTGCTCCCACAGGGCCGTTATAATGCAAACTTCATCTTCAACTTCAGCAGGTAGAAAGTTAAAATACGGGAGGATAATGGGGCGGTCTAACTATATTGGAAGCCAGCAATAATCTCTTCAGGATTACGACACAGCCCTAAATTCCTGCTTGCCAGAAAACAACAATGGTCCTTTGAATGAGCCGTGCATGAATACCTTTTAGAGTTTCAGACAAGCAACCCAAAAGCAGGTACTTTTGGGAATAGGAAGTCAATGCTCGCTGTTTGGCAAACTTTACGTTTAAGGCTGGCGTCTGGTTCGGTTTAGCCCTATACTAAATACATTGAAAACATCGTCGCTGTTTCCGGAGTTGCATTTTAAAAATATGAGATATATCGCTTTAAAAAAATTATATTTCGAATTAACAAACTTCAGTCCAGGGGACCTCCATATTTATATTCATATCTAGTATGCAGTTTTTACAAAAAAAATTATAAAGTTGAACAACTTTTACATCACATTTTAACCGGCACATTGATGCATTTTTTGACGAAGTGCTGAAGTTTTTTGCATTCTGAGATAGGAGGTCCCCTGGGGAAAAGTGTCAGCTTTCTTTTGATACCATTTATAATATTAAAAAATCCACGACTGAGGTAAATAACTCGCGAAAAGTCAAAATCTATTGAAACGAGAAATCGGCATTAAACGAGCTGTGATGCGGTAGCAGAATGCAGGTTTACTTAGATTCTGACTTGGTTGGAGATTTCAGTATTTTAAAAATGCAATTCCGGAAACTACGACGATGTTTTCAATGTATTTAGTATTGGGCGAAACCGAACCAGACGCCACCCTTAAAATATTAGGTGTTGAAGAAGCACTTTTTGAGAGAAAAATCAAAATTGTATAACAAGATTTTACAAATTAACTTTGAAATTGCAAAACCGATAGCTTTATTTATATATTTTTTTATTATTGTAAGCATTGTAAATCGTTAATAAAAAATTCAAATTGTATTTTACAACTTGACTTTAAAATGGCAAAAGCGAATGTATTGAAAATAAATCGGTAATCAAAATTTGTTCGATTAAAGCCTTCCCAAAAAATTATTTTAGAATTCTATCGAACAAATGTTCTTTAAATTTTATAAAATAACATACATAGTCATGCATTTACCCTTAGCAGCCATATTTTTGGAAAAGAAATCAACAATGTATAAGAATATTTTTTATTTTAACTTTGAAATTGCAAAAACCGAATATTGTGAAATCATAAAAATACTTTAAGATTGTTTTATGTAGTTTCCTATACGTTGAGGAAACAACTTCAACCAAATTTCATTTTCTTTTAAACATTGATGCTTGTAGTCTGAACGTACTAAAAGTCGAATCCGCTCGACGTATAAACATAAAGAGTCGAAGTTAAGTATACACTAAGAAATTGAGAATGTCTATTTTTTTTTCTAGTTGGTTATATGCTTTAATTAAATATATTTCATATTTAAAGACGCAGGAGTTGTGAGGATGTTAACTACGCCACTTTATAGAGGTTAATAATTGTTACGAAACAAAAATCGCAAAATCTAATTTTATAATTTTTGAAAGAAGCGGAATTTGTCGTATTTTCAAAACGCCAATGTGGCCGGCATAACTGAAAATAATAATAGCAATAATACGGCAATACCCAAAGAACATCTGTATAAAATACCACAGGGCCCCACTTTGGAAATTTCCCGGTGGACCCTCATGTCCTCAATCCGACACTGCCTCTGTACGATTAAAAAATATAGAGTATATTTAATATATCTATTTCTATTTTTCTTGTATTTAGTTATACGCATTTGCATTGTTTTTTCAATAACTTTCTTTTCCAGAGAGATTAGTAAGTATTTGCAAAGATGGCTTTCTGTTTTGAGCAAAAGTTTCTTACAAAATGGTTTCAACATTCCATTTTCTCTGCTGTAATGTTGTCATATTGACACGATTCAGTGTTTTTACTTCCCGAGCGTAAGCAAAGGAAGTATTGTAATCGAGTCCATCGGCTGACTCTCTACTTTTACATTTTCTCGATCTTTCATAACCCATAGAAAACGAAGAATTAGGTCTCACGTTTCCGTCGGTCTGTCTGTCCGTCTGTCTGTCTGTCTGTCTGTCTGTCTGCCGTCCCGGATTTTTATTATACAGATCATCTCCGAAAGTACTGGGCCGATTGTTGTCAAATTTTGCATTTATATTAGGTCTATCATGTAGATGGTAAAACGCTAACCAAAATTTGTCTAGTCATCACCACCAATAATGTGATGACGTCACTTCAAAATTGTACATAGTAATTGGGTTTTAAATTGTATCAAATAACATAGTCTTACACATGTAGTCTATGATTCCGAATTGAGAGTTTACCTAAAACGTCCAATTTTTAGAAAAAAAATTAAAATTAGGAAACAACATTTTGACATTTAATTTGGAATCTGCAAAACTGAATGCATTGAAATCTTGCAGATAGTTTACAGTTATGCTAAGCATCATAAGTTTTTTATTCAAAATATATTTACTTGTCCCCTCCACAAAATTGATGATGTCACCTCAAAATTTTGCAAAATATGATGAGACAATACTTGTGATCTATCATTCCATTCATATTTTTTGGATTTGCATATACAGGGTGACTCAAAAATTTAATGCATGCGTAAATGTATTTTATTGATTTAATCAGGAACTACAAAACCAAATGCTTTGAAATCTTTGTTTTAAAGTTGTCATAGGCATGGTAAATTTTTGATCAAAATATATTTGCTTATCGCCCCCTAAAAAATTGATCACGCCCAGTGGCGGCTCGTGACTTTTTCTGTTGGGGGGGCAAAATTAATACACAGTATTATGCTAAATTTAAAATTTATGCTAGGTAAAAATTATTGTTTCTTTTTATTAAAAATTTAGAAAAATGTCAAGTTAGAGGTCTGTTAGCCAGAAATTATTGATTGAAAATTGATAATTGAAAATCGATAATTTCTGTTTACCATCTGGAACCACGAGGAGGTGGACCTAATTCCAGACTTCCCCAACGGTGATGGGGCGAACTCAAAGTTCCTTTTAAATTTGTTGACATAAGAAATATAAATAAAATTTTGTTAATCGCGTGTCCAGTAGATGCAATAGGTATCCCCCACTTTAAATTATTTTCAATTTTTTTAATTAATGTTTCTATATATAAAATCCATACGTCTTTCTTTGTTACGAACAAAATGTTCTATAACTAGTTCATTGAAATTCGTGGTTTCTTGCACTAGTTTTTTTTCTATTGAACACATTGCCAAGGCACACAATCTTTCTTGACACATTGTATTTCGTAAAAATGTCTTTATACGTTTTAACGTCGAAAAACATCGTTCGCATTCACTTGTCACCATCGGTAATGTGCAAATAATTTTCAATAATTTTTTTGTTTCTGAAAATACGTCTAATAAATTGTTTTCATACATAAACTTCAAGAATGTTAAGGCACCATTTGCTGTCGAAAAATCGGGATGATTATAAATAACGTTTAACTCATTTTTTAACACATTAAAATTTAAATCATATTTTGTAGCACATAATTCAACTTCTTTTGATGGAAAATTTAGTTGAAAATATGAAAATAAGCTAGTCTGAAACAAATTTGCTGCTGTAATATAATCTGCTTCTAAAAATCGATCATTTATACTAAATTTACTATTGTCACAAATTTCTTTAGCAATTGCAATTTTATTATCATTAAAACGAGACCGCTTTTTTGAAGATTCACCCTCTTCGTTTTCTTCTCGATAATAATCGTAGTCGATAGAATCTGTTACATGTTGTATGGCAAGTTTAAAAGAAGTAATATTTTTCTGAAGTTTAATTAAGTCCATTTCGCGAATTTGAAGTTGGTTGAAAAGTATCTCGGTACTAGGCATGATTCTGTGAAAGAAGTATAACCAAAAATTAAAATCGTAATCTTCTAATGTTTTCCGTAAACTACTTGCCTTGGCAATTGTTAATTTATCACTACTTTTATCTTCCATTATAATTTGAAAGCAGTTAATCAAATCATTTTTAAAACTATGTACAGTATTAACTATTCGTGACTTAATGTTCCATCTAGTCGGACAATTTCTTGGTAATCTTTTAGAAACGATATTATCAAGTATTCTTATACGTTTAGGAGATCTTGAAAAAAACGAGGAAAATGATTCTAAATTTGAAAAAAAATTCTTACTTGGCTGTGTGCTGATGCCGCCTTTTCTATAATTAAATTCAACTGGTGAGCATAGCAGTGAATAAACTGAGCTTTAGGGTAATGTTCCTTGATTTTTGCTTGTACCCCATTTTGTCTTCCACTCATAACCGAAGCACCATCATAAGACTGAGATATAAGTTTTTTTGATTTTGATTGATTTCAAGTTTTTCGAGCTCATTTAAAATAATACTAGAAATACAATCAGCTGTGTGATATGTTGGATTAATGAATCCTAAAAATCTTTCAAATATTTTACCTTTCAATTCATATCTAACGACAAAAACCAGCTGCGACTGTGAAGCTACATCTGTAGTTTCATCAGCTAAAATAGATATATAGTCCGCTTCAAAAATTTCATCTTTGATTAAATTAATACAAACAGCATAAATTGAATCAAGTAGTTCGTTTTGTATGGTTTTTGAAAGACCCATAAAAACGCGATTGTTCGTTTTTTCTATATGAGATTTTAATGTAGTGTCAAGCTCTGCCATTAAATTAATTAAACCTCTGAAAATTCCCGGATTTGTAGAATCATGCGTTTCATCATGCCCCCTTAAAGCCAACTCAAAGACTCCACAAAATTTTATACCGTCAATCAGTTTACTTAAAATGTATCTATTCTGTTTTACCTGATCATTATGTTTCTCGACGTTCTCTCTATAAGCACTATTTAACTGATTTCTTATGTCTACTTTACCTAAGACTGCGAACGATACGTTGAGAT